TTATTTTGTTTCAACATATCTATGGGTTATTTAATGCCGAAATCTAAATATTTTGATTGGTTTGGTTGGTTGATTTTGTTTAGCGGCATATCAACCTCTATGGGTTATTTAATGCCGAAATCTAAATATTTTGATTGGTTTTTTGGTTGATTTTGTTTAGCGGCATATCAAAACCTATGGGTTATTTAATGCCGAAATCTAAATATTTTGATTGGTTTGGTTTGGTTGTTGATTTTGTTTAGCGGGCATATCAACCTCTATGGGTTATTTAATGCCGAAATCTAAATATTTTGATTGGTTTGGTTATTTGGTTGATTTTGTTTAGCGGCATATCAACCTCTATGGGTTATTTAATGCCGAAATCTAAATATTTTTTGGATTGGTTTGTTTTTTTGTTTTTTTGTTTAGCGGCATATCAACCTCTATGGGTTATTTAATGCCGAAATCTAAATATTTGATTTTGTATTTGGTTGTTATTTTTTGTTTAGCGGCATATCAACCTCTATGGGTTATTTAATGCCGAAATCTAAATATTTTGATTGGTTTGGTTTGGTTGATTTTGTTTAGCGGCATATCAACCTCTATGGGTTATTTAATGCCGAAATCTAAATATTTTGATTGGTTTGGTTTGGTTGATTTTGTTTAGCGGCATATCAACCTCTATGGGTTATTTAATGCCGAAATCTAAATATTTTGATTGGTTTGGTTTTGGTTGATTTTTTTGTTTAGCGGCATATCAACCTCTATATGGGTTATTTAATGCCGAAATCTAAATATTTTGATTGGTTTGGTTGGTTTGGTTTTTTTTTTTTTAGCATATCATATCAACCTCTATGGGTTATTTAATGCCGAAATCTAAATATTTTGATTTGGTTTGGTTTGGTTGATTTTTTTTTAGCGGCATATCAACTCTATGGGTTATTTAATGCCGAAATCTAAATATTTTGATTGGTTTGGTTGGTTGATTTTGTTTAGCGGCATATCAACCTCTATGGGTTATTTAATGCCGAAATCTAAATATTTTGATTGGTTTGGTTGGTTGGTTTTTTGTTTAGCGGCATATCAATTTAAATGGGTTATTTAATTTGAAATCTAAATATTTTGATTGGTTTGGTTTGGTTGATTTTGTTTAGCGGCATATCAACCTCTATGGGTTATTTTATTTAATGCCGAAATCTAAATATTTTGATTGGTTTTGGTTTGGTTGATTTTTTGTTTAGCGGCATATCAGCGGCATATCAACCTCTATGGGTTATTTAATGCCGAAATCTAAATATTTTGATTGGTTTGGTTGGTTTGGTTGATTTTGTTTAGCGGCATATCAACCTCTATGGGTTATTTAATGCCGAAATCAAAATATTTTGATTGGTCTAAATATTTGGTTGATTTTGTTTAGCGGCATATCAACCTCTATGGGTTATTTAATGCCGAAATCTAAATATTTTGATTGGTTTGGTTTGGTTATTTTGTTTAATGCATATCAAAATGGGTTATTTAATGAATGAAATAAATATTTTGATTGGTTTGGTTTGGTTGATTTTGTTTAGCGGCATATCAACCTCTATGGGTTATTTAATGCCGAAATCTAAATATTTTGATTGGTTTGGTTTGGTTGATTTTGTTTAGCGGCATATCAACCTCTATGGGTTATTTAATGCCGAAATCTAAATATTTTGATTGGTTTTGGTTTGGTCAATTTTGTTTAGCGGCATATCAACCTCTATGGGTTATTTAATGCCGAAATCTAAATATTTTGATTGGTTTGGTTTGGTTGATTTTGTTTAGCGGCATATCAACCTCTATGGGTTATTTAATGCCGAAATCTAAATATTTTGATTGGTTTGTTGGTTGATTTTGTTTAGCGGCATATCAACCTCTATGGGTTATTTAATGCCGAAATCTAAATATTTTGATTGGTTTGGTTGGTTGATTTTGTTTAGCGGCATATCAATGCCCTCTATGGGTTATTTAATGCCGAAATCTAAATATTTTGATTGGTTTGGTTTGGTTGGTTGATTTTGTTTAGCGGCATATCAACCTCTATGGGTTATTTAATGCCGAAATCTAAATATTTTGATTGGTTTGGTTTGGTTGATTTTGTTTAGCGGCATATCAACCTCTATGGGTTATTTAATGCCGAAATCTAAATATTTTGATTGGTTTGGTTGGTTGATTTTGTTTAGCGGCATATCAACCTCTATGGGTTATTTAATGCCGAAATCTAAATATTTTGATTGGTTTGGTTTGGTTGATTTTTTTCAGGCATATCAACCTCTATGGGTTATTTAATGCCGAAATCTAAATATTTTGATTGGTTTGGTTGGTTGATTTTGTTTAGCGGCATATCAACCTCTATGGGTTATTTAATGCCGAAATCTAAAATATATTGATTGGTTTGGTTGGTTGATTTTGTTTAGCGGCATATCAACCCTCTATGGGTTATTTAATTTGAAATCTAAATATTTTGATTGGTTTGGTTGGTTGATTTTGTTTAGCGGCATATCAAACCTCTATGGGTTATTTAATGCCGAAATCTAAATATTTTGATTGGTTTGGTTTGGTTGATTTTGTTTAGCGGCATATCAACCACTATGGGTTATTTAATGCCGAAATCTAAATATTTTGATTGGTTTGGTTGGTTGATTTTGTTTAGCGGCATATCAACCTCAATGGGTTATTTAATGCCGAAATCTAAATATTTTGATTGGTTTGGTTTGGTTGATTTTGTTTAGCGGCATATCAACCTCTATGGGTTATTTAATGCCGAAATCTAAAATATTTTGATTGGTTTGGTTGGTTGATTTTGTTTATCAACCTGTTATGGGTTATTTAATATAAATATTTTGATTGGTTTAATTTATTTTTTAATCAACCTCTATGGGAAATCTAAATATTTTGATTGGTTTGTTTGGTTGTTTTTGTTTAGCGGCATATCAACCTCTATGGGTTATTTAATGCCGAAATCTAAATATTTTGATTGGTTTGGTTGGTTGATTTTGTTTAGCGGCATATCAACCTCTATGGGTTATTTAATGCCGAAATCTAAATATTTTTTGGTTAAAAATCTGTTTGGTTTGGTTGATTTTGTTTAGCGGCATATCAACCTCTATGGGTTATTTAATGCCGAAATCTAAATATTTTGATTGGTTTTTTGTTGTTGATTTTGTTTAGCGGCATATCAACCTCTATGGGTTATTTAATTGTGAAATCTAAATATATTGGTTTGGTTTTTGATTGGTTTGAGATTTTTGATTTTGTTTAGAGGCATATCAACCTCTATGGGTTATTTAATTTTGAAATCTAAATATTTTGATTGGTTTGGTTGGTTGTTTTTGTTTAGCGGCATATCAACCTCTATGGGTTATTTAATGCCGAAATCTAAATATTTTGATTGGTTTGGTTGGTTGTTTTGTTTAGCGGCATATCGGGTTTTGATTGGTTTTTTTGTTTAGCGGCATATCAACTCTATCTATGGGTTAAATTAATGGTTTTTGAAATCTAAATTTTTTTTTGAACTAAATTTATGGCTTCAACTAAATATATTTTGAACACAGTTGTTTTCCTTCAGCTACAGATAAAATGTATTGCTAGTCATGTTGCTAATTTTCCTATAAATGGGTGTTGTTGCTATTTTGGTCTTAGTATTGTATTTAGTTTATCATCATAGCCAAGACTGTCAATGAGATTCTTTCTACCAATTCTCAAATTTTCTTCACAAACAAAAAGCTACATGTGCCACCACTAAAACTTAGGTTTGAAGTTAATTAAAAAAAATAATGAAACAAATATTAAAATTTAAAAGAATTTTTTTCAAGCAATAAAAGATATCACATCAGTCATAACAAAAAGGTCATTCAAACAGTTATTCATAACAAAAAGGTCATTTAAGAGGTCATTCATAACAAAAACGTCATTCAAAAGTCATTTATAACAAAAAAATCATTTAAAAGTCATTCATAAAAAAAGTCATTCACAAAGGTCGTTTAAAAGGTCATTCAAAAGGTCATTCATAACAAAAAAGTCATTCAAAAGGTCATTCATAATAAAAAGGTCATTTAAAAGTCATTCATAACAAAAAAGCGGCGTACAAAAAAAAAAACATTACCATGAATTGATAATACTGGAATATAATTAAGGATATCTAAATTAGTTTATCAGTCTTCTCTCATCAGAGCAAATATTAAGAATAAAGAAATTAGTATAGAAACTAAAAATATATAACCCCTGATTAATGTTATATACATGCAAAAAAAAAAAAAAAAAAAAAAAAAAAAAAACTTTTATATTTATGAGATGAGTTCTTGTAACTATCTACACAACTTACATTTTTCAGACTGTTTTCATTTTTACTGTCACATTCACAACATTTTGGCTGTTGTCTTTTTCATGGTCCAGATTATAAAAGCATTGGTTAATTGATCTAAAAAATGACTTGACTTAAGGAGTTGTGAGTTCAATTCCTGGCCTCATTAGAGATAACAAAAAATTGTAAAGTTATCAAGGGGAATTAACTAAAATTGAATATCCAAAAAGGCATGGCATATGGAATTAGAACAATAACCATGGACTAAATAAAGGGTTCAGTTTGAAATTCCAACAAATATCAATTGAAACATTGCGAATGTGACAGGAAAGATGAGGACAACAGCTTGTATAAATAAGTGTAAATAATTACAATACCACATCTCAGAAATATAGACAGATCCTGAAGAAGGACAGAGTGTACAAACGTTGTGAATGTGACAGCAAAGATGATGACAACAACCCAGACAATGCAAAATAGTGTAAATAGTTACAATACCATATCTCAGAAATATAGAGAAATCTTGAAGAAGGACTGAGTGTACAATTGCTGAGACAGATCCTGAAGAAGACAGAGCAATACAATGGCTGAATGTGACAGTAAAGATAAGGACAACAGTCTAAACAATGTAAATAGTGTAAAAAAAACTATAATATTAAAGCCTAAGCCCACCAACGACTAATTATTTTTGTCTTACCTGCTGGATTTTCATCAAAAAATGCAATTTTGGCCCGGATGATATTTGTATACATAGTATTATGCAGAGTTTGTGAAGTCTGAATCGAATTCCAATAAAACATGAAAGCCTTAAGCAAACTAAATGCAAACACCCCAAGAGTGAGTCCTGAGTAGATAGCTGTGTTGTAACTGAAATCAGTTGTTGGGATTGTGGTATTTGTAAAATTGTAGCCTTCACTGATGATGGCTTTCTGTTTTTGAAGGGCTTCATAACGACTTTGCTCTTGGTTGGACCTGAAATGCAGAGAATGAATATCACATTAACTTAAAATTGGATACAATCATTGGCAAGAATAAAATGTTCACTTAATAAATAAATTTTCTGCATTTTAAATATATTTAAAAACAACATTGATAAAAACAAATAAAAAATAGCAATAGAAAATCAAATGATGCTGGCTAGGTTATTTTTGTGATGTTAGACTCTTACTCGTTCTAACTTTCATTAGGTCAATAAATGCTTGTTATCACTTCCAACATACTCATTGTAGACAAGACTTTGTAAATACAGATACTGGTAGTAGCAGTAGTAATGCCTTCAAATAATACTTGCATTAATAATACTTGTTTAAATAGTAATCACCGAATAGTGATTTGTATAACAGAGAAATTGTATATAGTGTATAGTATAGAGAATAGTGATCACTTAGACGTCACACTAATTCCCATTTATACGTTTCCTTAATGATCACATGATCTACTTATTTAATAATGGAATCATCCATGTTTGCTCACAGGTGATCTATGCTCAACCATGGTATCGGCAACAACACTTTATTCCTATCCAACAGTCATACATTGAGTTCCATTGGACAATAAAAATTTAAAGTCAAGTGTCTCTTATCTTTTGTGTTTCTCAATGTAGAATTTTATACTGATGTCTTCATTCCCTCTCATTATATATATATATATATATATATATATATATATATAGACAAGTCTATAAGTAAAAACATCTGAAGAAGTCTTTTCAATGGATGAAACATTTTTTTCAATTTTGTCATTCAATATATTTTCTAATATCTATTTTTTTCTTTTCTTGTTTGTCACATTGAATGAGACCTTTTTCTTAGCAATTTCTGAATTCAGCTTTGTGAGCATTTTTACTTACTCGGCCGTTTTAAAAATTCACTCAAAATTTTTAAAAAATGAAGCAGACACCTCGGAAAGGAAAGAGCATATTATTACATCAGCTTAGACACTGCGATAAAGACAACCAAGATAAAGAATAAATATTTATGACAGACAGAGAAGGAGTTCTTCACTACTCGAATATATTGGTGGGTATTATATTGTGATGTGCAAGTGCGTTATTATCATAATAAAAGGAGGGGAAGAAAATAAATAGGCTGTATAAGAAGTAACTATAATATATCTATATCTTTCTCTCTTTCCTCCTCTCTTTCTTTTCTTTCTTTCTTTGCTGTGCATCCAATTTCAAGCCAGATGGCTTGGCCCTGTAAAATGGATATATGTGGAATCAGATCAAAGATTCATAAGATAACACTCACACTGGAAAGGGTAAATTTGCAGATTAAACCCTGGAAACCAATTGTAATGAAAATTTCCATTCTGGTGTGAAATTGCCTATTTAATTCCAAAATAACAATAAAATTTTGTGGAAAAAAATCGTTTAGGAGTTATCAACAATATAAGTTCAGCCTTATTCGATACCATTACTGGAATTGTTTACATACGTTTGCCTCAAGTTGTAATGCACAGAAGCTTACTTAGTTAACAGCCTTTTTACTGATCTTGTTATCTTCTTACTAGTCTTGATTACTGCACAATTCATGAAATATAATTTAAAATTCGCGTATTGTGCAGTAATCAAGACAAGTGAAGTATATGTGCATTACTACTCAAGGCAAACGTATGTAAACAAGGCCAGTAATGGTGGCTGGGTTGTAACCGCAATGTGAATTAAATTTTTTGCCCTCACCATGAATTAATTAAATCAAAGGTCAGTTCAAATTTTCCTGAAGATTACCTGGATTGACAGATGCCTAAAGAGAGCACAATGGTCAAAACACTGAGATAATAATAACTGTTCCACTTGGCTTAGGGTGGACAGATAAATTATACGAGATTGACCGCTGAAAAGTCGAAGCAACATAAAGACAACATGAGACATGGTAAATTTAACCACTGTTTTATTCAAATTCTACTGGATCTGTTTTGCTCCCAGCATTACCTAGTGGGACTAGAAGTGCTTACAATCATCATAATCATAATCAACATTATTGATATTAATTATTAATCTGGTTGTAAATAATGTAAATCTTGGAACTGCATTGCATATTAACTTTTGGCGAGTGACATTCATTGGCATTAATAAAATTCATTTTCTTTCTTGGTGAAAACTGAAAACTTATTTTTGGTCAAGATATTTAATGATGATTAAAATTCTAAGAAAGAATTCAACATTATACCCAAAACAAAATCTACAAAGTTAAAGAAAAAAAGTTATTTTCCTTGACAAACTGTTCCTGCATCAATGCAACAATGAACAATTAAGCTCATTTGAATGACACATTGATGATGAAAAAAAGAATAATGTGTGTGATTTTATGATAAAATTCAATTTGCCACCCAAAACAAAATCTGTAGAGGGGCAAAAATGTTCTTCATCATGTTTGCTAAGATTTGAAAGGAAAATTAAATTTATATTTCTTTAAATGTTTGTTTTTGAAAATATAATATCTACTTGAGATAAAAGTATGTATCTTTGTTTTTTTTTGTCCCAAAACAAACTAGTAAACTGACTTTGTCACTTCTGACATAGGCTAGTAGAGAAATATGGGACAGTTTAAGAAGATATGACCAAGTTGAGATCAGTGTAAAAAGTAACAAGTGTGGTCAGTTTAACAAAATATGATCTGATGTTAGTGTAACAAGAAGGGACTTAGGGGGACAGTAACAAAATGGGAAATATTACCAGTGTAACAATATGAAACATATGGACAGTGTCACAAGACTTGTGGAAAGCTCATGAAAACAGAACATGTGGTCAGTCAAAGACGTGACCTGAGGACAGTCTAACAAATTATGTAGGAACAATATTACAAGGTGCAGCTTGTGCAGCTGATATCATCTGAATTCTAATTAATATCATCATCATCAGAATGCTTATTGATACAAATAGCTGAATGCTTATTTATATTTTTTGAATATTATGTTATACTGGTGCCACATTCTATTGTGTTACCTGTGAACTGTATAACACAATAAAATGTAGCACTAGTGTAACAAGATTTTACCTGGAAACAGTGTAACAAGATTCAATTAGTTGCCAGTATAATGAAATGGAACTTGTGCACTGGGGACAGTGTAAAAATGGGATCTGTAGATAGTATAACAAGCAAAACATGGGGCTAGAGAGGTGTGTTGTAAGAAGATATGATCTGGCATTAGTATAGCAAAACATAAAATGGGGCCAGTGTGACAAGATGGATACAGAGTAAAATAACAGTACTGAGTTACTTACCATCTGGCAACCCAATAGTCAGTTCCAATATAAAACAGAGTTGATACGATGAATACCAATCCCATAAGGATTCCATACAAGAAATGAGCTCCAGCTTTAAAATACTGAAGATAAACATAAAGTCCTATGTGACCTATTTTACGTCCCTCTTCCTGGATATGAACTTCTTCCTGAAATAAAGTAACCAGAAACCATTATTTAATAAAGCTGTTTTCATTGCTGTACATAAAAAATGGCAAGTGAACTCAGTGTCCAAAATACTTCTATGGTACATGTGTGATATTGAGATCTCTGGAGGTTGATCAAGCAAAAAGAGAAAGAAAGGAAGGAATAGGAAAGAGTCTACTAACTGGATGATGATTGTTGAAATTGCAGGAGGATGGATTGAAAAATTGAGAATTTGTTGAAAAATCATGTTTTTTGAGACAATTCCAAGGAGAATCGAACCCAAATTTAACTAGACAAAATTTAGTAAGATTGAGCAAACCCAAGACTACCCACCATTCCCCACTTCTTACTGTTAAGGAGGAAACCATTAAGGTATCCACTAAGATGTCAGATAAAATAAAAACATGTTTTCAATAGAGAAATCTTGGCGGTCACCAAAATAACATTCATGATGCCTCTGGACAAGGAAAAAAAACATCTGTTTCAAATCAACCACCCAGAAGAAAAGTATACCCACACGTTCATCATTATAATTTCCATGACATTCATCCAGAGAAAATTTTACATCCAAATATTAATTTGGATTCCCTTGGATGCAAGTGGTAAGAAAAAATTAATTACTATTTTGAAGTGACCATGGACAAGAAAGATGTGTGGTCTATTTGATATTAAAAAAGATGTATAAGACAGAGAGAAGATAAATTTTCATTATAAGGAGAGTGGAAATAGATTTTTCTTTCTCCAATTCTTGAGTAGTCTGGTTGATTGAGAGATCCACAGCATGGGGCAAGCTGATAGATAATGAGTGAAAATCCCGTTTGTCTTTGCTGTGCCATCTTGAAGTTGGATTTATCACTCCAGCCCAGGAAGCCAAGCTGATGTTGGCTACTGAGAAAGTGGGAGAAGGAAGAGAGAAGAAAGAGAAGAGAGAAGAAAGAGAAGAGATTAGCACTGTCTATATGGTGTGATGGTGCAAGATGATATGTAAAGAGAGTAGGAGTTAATAGGTAGCTTGATCCCTCTGACCACTCTCAAAAGGTAGCTGGACAACTCCAAATTTGAAAAACCACTTCAGTAAATGTATTTTTATATATGGAAATTTAGAAAAGGTTGATGCTTAGGGTAGAAGACAACCAAACCCAGACTCTAGTCAACCCCATCCCTGCTGGACACAGACTGCATATAAGCTAGAGATTTTGGACTTAGACACACAAGAAGAAGAGAGACAGAGAGGGACACAACAGAATCTGCATCATTTGCTGAGACTTCCTGACCAAAGACCTTATGGCAGACATGAAGACCAAAACCTAGAATTTAAGTTACTACTGAAACAAGCTGCAGACTCCAAAGAGAATCCCAGTGTCATTTGATTATAACAATAAGTGGGAAGGATTAAAACTGCTGTATACAACAAATCATATATAAACCAAATCATTGTCACATTTTTAACCAGAGTTAATTCTTTATTCCAAAGGAATCTTGTTTTATTTTGTGTAGATCCCAAATTGTTGAACTATCTACTCTTTAAGTTTGCTTCATCAACAATCTTCTCACTTTCTGAGATTAAAAAACAATGTGTCAGAGGAGTGAATGGTTGTGAACCATGCTACCAACATGATACCAGCAACAAAATGAGTCACACACTTACGAGTGAAGAGTCAGTTAAATGGTAACCATGGTGGTCTGAAACAACTGGAGGACCAACAACTGGGTGACATATTTGTCTAGGGCCAATGATAGGAGTACATATTTGGTTACTGCTGACCAAGGCCAACACTCCAGTGGTGTTACATGTGTTTGTAAAAAACCTCCAAAAACCAAAGCACGAGGTTGATATTGTAGGTCAATAAACATACAAATCCATTTCACTCTTGTACAATTGTAAGCATCATGTGTCACTGCTGGCCAATCTTAAGCGTTGCATGTCACTCTTGGCCAATTGTAAGTGTCATGAGTCACACTTGGCCAATCGAAACTATCGTGAGTCACGCTCGGCCAAATATATGCATTGCTTTAAAAACTGTTAATTTTTCAGCCATGGGTGAGTAGTAATCTTCCCTTGGATTGTTGAGAGTGAGTGGAGTGAATATCATGGCCTTTTGAAACCTTACAGCATTTTGAGAACTTATCTTCATGCTTTTACAGTTGCAAATTCAATAAAAATCTATAAAGTACCAAATATTTGATTGGAACCAAAGTTCATAGCATTTTTAAGTGAATATTTAGATATGACTGTCAAAATTCTTTGAATGCATCTTGACATCCTCTAAATTCATTTTATATGCATTTTATATACAGACCTGTTGACGTCTGGATGTTCATCAATATCATGTGAATATTTATGAAAACTGATATTATGGTTTGGTTTGTTTTATGGCATATCAACCTTAATGGGTTATTTAATGCCAATAAAATTTTTATTGCTGTTAATATTTTTTTTTTCATAAATGTATTGCTGGTAATTTTTTTTTCTTCAAAAATGTATTGCTGGTAATTTTTTTTCAAAAATGTACTACTGGTAATTTTTTTTTTTAAAAAAATGTATTGCTGGTAATTTTTTTTTTTTTTCAAAAATGTATTGCTGATAATAATGTATTGCTGGTAATAATTTTTTACAAAATATTTCTGGTAGTAAAACCTATTTTTACACTTTCATAGCATTTTGACCCCATTTTGGGGGTTAACTATTTACCCATAGCTGGGACTCTAACAGGTGCTACCACCTCGGGCCAGGGTGGACCTGGGAACATGAGCAATTAAGAAGTGGTTCGACACTCCAATATTGTACATGCACATTCTTTGTTTTTGATTTTGTTGACTGCACAATTTAGTAGGGTCAGTTAGGCATTGTCTCTGAGAAAAAGAGCACCATGACGCAATTCACTCTGCCATAAATTTGAAAATGGCATGCTGTACTGCTTGGCATTTGTGCTGGAAGCTCCAATACAAACATTTCAGAATGTTTAGGTGTCAATCTAAAGCCAGTGCAAAGGATTCGAAAAGAATTGAACCAAATATCCTGTCAACATCATAGTGTTTGGAGTGATTACTAGTGAGGGCGACGTTATGTGTCTATTCATCTTCCCACAGAGCACTTAACAAGGAGGCCTACATGAAGTGCCTTGAGGAGGTAGTGCTGCCCTAGGACAAGAGGGTGGATGTTGGAAGACCCTATGTCTAGCAATAGGACTCTGCACCATACCACACAAGCAGGAGAACCCAGTCATGGGTGTCAGACAATTTCTGTGAACATATCACTCCTTACATCTGGCCACCTAACTCCCCCAGACTGCAACCTCCTTGATTATTACGTGTGGGGCACAGTTGATCGAGAGACCAACAAAACTCTTTGTAACACCAAGAGATTCCAAAGTTGTCCAGAGGCCATGCTTGAAGCCAATGGCAATTTTATTGAATAAATTTACTCTTTAGTATTTCAAGATATTTTTGTGTAATTTTGGTAAATGTATCTGTTAAAATGAGATGTCAGTGTTATTTTTATTTTTGCGTCATTTAGATGACAACTTATCCATCACATCCTGTATATAATTTGAGAGGCACTTGACCCAAATGTTGTGTCTACAATAACATGTATAATAATCAAAATGAGAACAGTAGTTTGTATAATTAAAGTATTTTAATAATACCTCATCTCAAAAATGAAATACAAAAAAATAAAAATGAAATAGAGAATGTATTTTGCACATTTCTTTCTTGCTTAATATTAGTAGTGCATGAATGAAATTTGATCATTTCAAAAAATAAACACTTTACAAAGTCATGTCAAAATCCTGAAGATGGATGACGAATATCATAAATGTTGATATGGATTCTTCCATCAATTTCAATATATGAGTGCCAAACAGAGAAATTTAGCGCTGAATTGCTAGACTTCCCAAACATATGATTTGATTCCATGGGTGAAGCCTTTTGTAAAAACAGCCACTTTTCTGAATAACTAGTAAGAGAAAAATGGTGCAGTGTGCCACAAAGTCTCCAAACAGCCGTCCTCTAGATTGAATTCAGAGTTTTCCATCTCCTAAACTGGTTACCACCCAAGGCAAAAAAGCCCAGGCTACCCTGCTATTTAACATATAGTTGGGAGACAATGGATAAATCTCTTTTCCAAGAGTATCAGTACAAAGAGAATGAAATAGTAAGGACTGGAATTAGAACATGTCTTGACAATTCCACTTTTTGCCCCTATAAGAGTTGTACTACCTCACATCCAGAAATGTGAATACACAGTGTGTATTCACATTTTTTTTTACCTCACTAACATTTACAGATCAGAGCAACAGCTGCTTTTTTTTAATAAAGATTATCAAAAAACATTCAGTGAATTTTGTGCCTGCACACTATTTATTATGAATTTAAACGAGAGAATTTGTTTACCTTGAATTCATTTCCAACTGAACAGAGGGATACCAAAGAACCAACTTGGTCTTGGAGATTAGTAACAGAAGGAGACATTTCAACCATGTCAAGCACTGATGCTGCCCTTGTTGGAGCTTCTTGTTCCTCTTCCTTATTGGGTCTTTTTAGGAGGCTGGCAAAGTCAATGCCTGATTCAAGAAGTTCTTCAAATGTTCCAATTCCAACTGCTTCTCCCTTTTGGTAAAATAACAAAAAATAAAAAAATAAATAAATAAGAAAGAAAACAAATATTAAGAAATTACCATCAAATGTAAATGCATACATATTATTTTTAATCATTTCACCCTAAGCAAGGCAAGAATGCCACTAGTACACCAAGGGTTACCAAGAGTGAAAGTGAAAGAGAAGACTGAGTATAAAGAGGATTGAGGAAAGGACAAAAGATGAACAGGATTCAAGAAGACAGAAGATGATGATTGACATTATGTTTAAATTTTTGAAGATTGTACTTATCAGGGAAGCAAGTAAATGGAAGGGAATTCCACAGACAGGAATTGCAAGAAAACAAACTTTTGGAGTAGAAGTGGCAGTTGCATTTAACTATTTCAACAGTAAATGGGTGGGACCTAGATGCCAATCTAGTAGCACATTTAAACTCATGTAATTGGGGCACCTGGGAAAAAAAGCTTGTCAGAGCAGTTGCTATGAAAATATTTGTAGAAAATACAGAGGAAAGGCATGCCATGTTGATGAGAAAGTGACTGAAGTCAAGATCAATTACATTGCAGACCCTTCTTTGGATTTTATCAAGAACATTGAGATGAACAGCAGGAGCACCAGACCAGATATGGCAGCAGTATTCAATGCACGGGCGAATGGTAGATTTGTAAATGTGTAAGATGGATTCTGACAAGAAAAATTTTCTGGCATGACACAGCGACCCAATTGTCCTTGTAGTAGACATAGTATTGATTATATATTTATATATATATATATATTTTTTAAGATATTTTTATGTTTATACATTCTTTTTATAGATACAAATATTTAAGTAAATTCTCTGTTTATAATAAACAGTATTAAATAACATTTACCAGCCTGAATGTCCGAGAAATTTTCACAGAAAATATTCGTCCTCCGACAGGATTCAATCCTGTATCCTATACGGAACCGTCATTTAGCTTGACGTGCCTTAACTGATTTGGCTACAGAGGAGCATTTGGTTAGCAAGGTCGAATTTACTGTATTTGAACTTAAACCTTTTATAAATCTCTCACATACATTCATATCTGCTCATGGCATATCAAATGTAAACAAATGATGTCACACATTATGAAATGGACAAAGTCTGACAATTATTTTAAGACATTTTTATGTTTATATATTCTTTTTATAGATACAAATATTTAAGTAAATGCTCTGTTTATAATAAACAGTATTAAACAACATTTACCAGCCTAAATATATATATATATATATATATATATATATATATATATATATATATATATATATATATACACACACACACACAGACAGAGGATGGGCGGAAATAAACTTCCAATTGAAAATGACTTATAACTTTTGTTAATATGACCACAGTTGTATGAAACAAAAAATATGTCCTTTGTGATCCATAAAGTATTAGAATTTAATTGCTAATTTCTGTTTTTATCTCAGAGTGCCAAGTGTAGCCCAGAATGGTATAATGCCTGACACTTTATGAGTCAGCTCAGCTAGCATCCCATTATTAATTATGGTAGTCTGCGATAAAAGTGCAGATATGATGGCACAGTGTTCATGGACCTTGTGATTCAATAGATGCCAAAACCACCAGAAATTGTTATGCTGCTAAAAACACAGCCAACTTTTACACCCATATCTGAAATGTGATTATTATAGCACACCTTTTACTTACCTGATCTAAAATGATGATACGATTCACTTGTGGTAAGAACTGTAATTGATGTGTGACAAGAATTCTTGATTTCTCCTTCAGGTAACCATTAATGCACCTGGAAAAATATCATAAAAATTCGAGAATAATTAAAAGTTAGAATAAAGGATGTATTTAATTACTGTTGGCTTTTCTTCTTAAGTCAGAAAATATTTAAGTTTGAAATAAAATTCCATTTGTTTCATTCTCTTTCACTTCCAGTAGTCCTTGCGTCTTAGTGGCATTATTGCCTTGCTTGGGGTGAACTTATTAAAAAAAAAAAGATAAAAAAAATATCCCATCTGAAATGGAAGAGAGCCTTATATGCCATTAAATATGGCAATCAAGGTTTAAGAGATAGAAAAAAAAAATTAAAAATAGGCCCGCTAATTAAAAGTCAAGCCTTTTTTCAAACCTTGCCTCTTAAGAGAATTTTTATTTTTTCAAATTTTTAAAACTTGGGACAATATCTATCTGATCATTCTCAAACAAACTCTTTTGACCAATTCTGTCCAATCATTTCTGTCATCCATAGCTCTATCGAGTTCTTCCTTTCTGATTCCAATGTCATCTATGAGCTATAATCAATGGAGATTCTTGTTGGTCTACCTCTTCATCTGAAAGGACATGACATTTTTAATGTTTCACTTAAAGGTTTATTGGCACTTAATGTAGAATAGAGATTAGAAAGCTAGATCGAGTGACTGATTTGTTTCTTACGGCTTATCAACCTTTATCTAGAAAGTATTTTAGAGTGTAACAACTTTTTAGTGAGATAATAATGATTTATTGAAATCGTACTAATTAACCCATAGCTGAGGAAGAAGAGGTGGATTTATAAGGTTTCCCAAGTGTATTTACCCATAAGTGAATATAATGAACTCAACTGCAATTGGAACTTTTGATTTCCAATTCTGTTATCCATTAAACCACTTGCACATCCAAGTTTACAGCATCTGCTATTACTATGCAGTCACTGAACTAAGTACTGACCAGGCTTGATGTTGCTTAACTTTGGTGATCATACAAGAACTTGTGTTTCAAAGTGAAATGGTCATAAGCCATTAGAAAGCTAGATTTGCATAATGTTGGTGAGAAACAAGCTCATTATAGTCAAACTGACCAGAACTGGAATTATTGTGGTAAAGTAAAAGTTATTAATTTGACTTTGCATTTGAAGAATACTTATTTTATGCTTATATATGTGTCCTATTGTCCTCAAGGATAAGAATCTTCTGAGCATTTTTTCCAACTATTTCTGTCACCCATAGTTTTAGCCTTTTTGTTCTTTCTTTCTTTCCCATAATTTAGATCCCATAACTATATCAAATATATGGGCATATCAAATAGTTAATATAGGCATATCAAATATCATATAGGCATATCATAAATCAAATAGCATATTGTGCATATCAAATATCATATATGCATATCATATTGTAAGCGATCTGGGATTGCAAAGGAAATATTTGTCACAGATTACTTCCACAACGCAGAGAATAAATCACTAAGTTCAGATTTGAACATCAGGTGCAGAAAGAAATGCCGAAAACTCAATTTGCAGGTACTATCTCACAAATCACAATGCATGCAACCAGTCAGAAAAATAACTCACTCTCCGACAAACACAGTAGGCAAAGTGCCCAAATTTTTCCTCCCGATTCAAGAACACATAACTGCTTTTATCAGCTGAGCATTTTTTCCATTCATCGACAACTGGGAGAGGATGCCCAATTTTTGCATATGAAAATACTTTTACAGCAACTCATGCGATGGACTTGTTTTTAGTTTACATATTCCATGTTCAGTATATCATGCGGAATATGTGCCCTTTTTTTGGTAAGTAATTTTCTTTTTCGCCACATTTTCCATTGTAGGATACATGTGACACACTGTCACTTGGTTTGACAAGGTAAGTCATCATTTTCTTCACTATACATATATCAAATATCACATGGACATATCAAATATGCACATGTGATAAGGAGGCACGGTGGAGCAATGGATAACAGTTCAGATTAAGGAATCAGAGAGCCAAGTTCAAATTCCATTCAAATCCATTACATTCACTTATGTGCTAATACCCTTGGGAAAGGTATGAATCCTCTTCTCCCCTCCAGCTATGGGTAAATAGTAAGACAGACTGGGTTCTATAGCCTTGGATGGCAGTTGGTCTATGAGAAGGACAATTCTGAATTCAAAACCTGCGTAGGGTCATTTGGGGACCTTGTGGCACATGGTGCACCAGTTCACTGTATATGGCTCTTCCAAAAAGTGTGGTTGGTTCTGCACAAGTCTTCACCACTATAACCAAATGATTTGTGCAGGTAGTCTGGCTGTCATTTTCTAGGAAGTGAGTTGCTTGACTCTCATATGTCGAAATCAACGGGAGAGCTCTGTACCAGTATATCAAATATCACATGGGCTTTCAGTAAGATTAATGATGAGAAATCATGGAGAAAATAATGCCTGGGGAATTATTCCAAGATATCATGACTCTGATTCCTTGATGTATTTTCAATGTGAAAAGTTATAATTCCATGTGTATAACTTTCAAATTCCCAATGCTTGTCTGAGTGAAAAATTTGTTGCTTTAGCAAATATATCTTTACAAGAGTCAGATGAGATCAGAAATAGTATAGTGCTGCTATATCTGGGCTGAAGCAGCACAATCTTCACATTCCAGCTATGACAGAGTTCAAAAACATTTATATTCCCTTGTAAGTGAGGAATTATTTTTCACCTCAAGCAAGGCAGTAGTACCACGAGTATGCTAGGGGTTTCAGAGAGTGAAAGTAAGAAAAAGACTGGGTATAAGAGGATTAAAGAAAGGATAAAAAGAAGAACAGGGATCAAGGCATCAGAAGGTTGGCATCTCAGGAGAGGTGGCTATATTTAACTGTCAAAACAGTTAAATATAGCCACCTCTCCTACTCTAACAGCTTCTTCTCTTGCACTTCCCAACAGTGGAACTCCCTTCTTCTTACTTGCTTCCCTGACAACTATAATCTTCAAAAATTTAAATGTAATGTCAATCAACATCTTCTGATTCCTTTTTATCCTTTTCTCAATCCTCCTCCTATACACAGTCTTTTCTCTTACTTTCACTCTCTTGCTTAGGGTGAATGTTTATTAAAAGAAATATATATATATAAAAAATATATAAAAAAAATCTAAGTTAATTTTATCCCTGATATCAGGAAAGGCAGCCATTTAAGGTTGACAGATACAGTTTGCAGAGTGTAGAAGAACAAAAAAGTCTATAGGTGAACATTGGTTGAATTTATACTTGAGCCTATAGGTAAACATTTGTTGCATATTTACTTTATTCTGTAGATGAACATTGATTGGGTTTAGACTTGAGTCTATAGGTAAGCATTAGTTGGATTTATAATTGAGTTTATAGGTAAATATTGGTCATGTTTATATTCACATTCATAAACATCCACATTATAGGTGAAACATTTTGAGGGAGAATCTGACCAATCTGCTGGGGATGTAGTTAGCATATTCTTCAACTTACTAACTAGGCATAGTATTAATAAGTTATGCTGCAACACTGCACATAAAGAGAGAGCTTTAGGGAAAAGGTTTGGGTCAAAAAACAATTTGCATAAGAGGAGGCGAGAATTTTGGTGGGGATGTAGAGTAAGAATATCTGAGAGGATGACTTCTTGATGGGTGGTGGGGCCAAAGAACATGTGAGAATTTTTGGATAGAGGTGGTTACAAAACGAAGAAGGTTTTATTTCATACAGAAGGTCACAAAAATGGGGAGAATGTTTGATAGAGAGCAGACAGGAAGGAAAGACTTGAGTAAAAGGGGAGACCTAAGCAAAGAAAGACTTGAATTAAAGCGGAGAACTAAGCAAGGAAAGACTTGAATAAAAGGGAAGCACTAAGCAAGAAAAGACTTGAATAAAAGGGGAGAACTAAGCAAGGAAAGACTTGAATAAAAGGGAGAACTAAGCAAGGAAAGACTTGAATAAAAGGGGAGAACTAAGCAAGGAAAGACTTGAATAAAGGGGAGAACTAAGCTAAAAAGACTTGAATAAAGGGAGAACTAAGCAGGCTAAGATTTGAATAAAAGGGGAGAACTAAGCAAGGAAAGACTTGAATAAAAGGGAGAACTAAGCAAGAAAAAGATTTGAATAAAAGGGAGAACTAAGCAAGGAAAGACTTGAATAAAAGGGAGAAAAAGCAAAAAAGACTTGAATAAAGGGGAAGCACTATGCAAGGAAAGACTTGAAAAAAATGGGGAGACCTAAGCAAGGAAAGTCTTGAATATCTGGGAGAACTAAAGCAAGGAAAGACTTGAATAAAAGGAAGCACTACTAAAAAAAAAACTTGAATAAAAGGGAGAACAAAGCATTGGATTTTGTTTGAATAAAAGGCTAAGGTCACAGTAAAGAACTTGAATGTAGGTGGGAAAACTAAAATATCAAAAAGAACTTGAAAAAAAAGGGGATGTCATCAAGGAAAAGTTTGAATAAATTCATATCAGAACTAAACAACTAAGACTTGAATAAAGGGAGAACTTCAAAACAAAATCCATATAATAAAAAAGAAAAAAAAAAAAAAAAATTTGAATAAAGGGAAGCATAAGCAAGGAAACTCGATTGAGTAGTTGGTTAATTGATTTTAAAGAAACATTGAATCCTAAAGGAGAAATTTAAGGTTGACTTGAATAAAAGGGAAGCACTAAGCAAGAAAAGATTTGACATAAATAATAATGGTAAGCAAGGAAAGACTTGAATAAAGGGAAGCACTAATTGGAAAGTTGTTGAATAAAAGGGGAGAACTACTGCAAGGTGGGACTTGTTAAAAGTGCAAGAACTAAGAAAGGAAAGACTTGAATAACTGGTCTTTGATTTCAATATTGTTCTTGAATTCTAGAATTTAAGCAAGGAAAAGACTTGAATAACCCTACTATTTCTCACAAGGAAAGATTTGAATAAAAGTGGAGCTTTAAACAAGGAAAGACTTGGTTGAAGGAGAACACAGCCAAGAAAAGAATTGAAACTTGGCTTGTCAGTTACATTTTTCCTTGAATAAAAAGGCCCTTACACCAAAAAAACATCTTGAATAAAAGCAAAAGGACTGCAAGCATAAGACTTGAAAAAAAAAGAAGAAAGAAATAAGGTTACAGACTGATGTCTTGACTGGTTAAAAGGGTCTCACTAAATAGCTAAAAGACTTGGGTATCATCAAGATGTAACTCTTAAAATTGAAAATAGAAGAGTTGAAAAGATTGACCCTTATAGTATAGATCTTCAAACTTAAGGTCACAGTAAAGGGAAAATGTGTAGGTGTGAAAAGGTAAAATATCAAAACATAGAAAAGATAAAAAAATCCAGTCATCAAAAATAAAGGAGGAATTCATATATTTACCTTTTTATTTCAATTATAATGCTGGGCAACAAAATCTTCAAAACCCATGGAATATAATAAACTTCTTTTTTATCCCAAATGTTCCATTTATATATCCCAAACAGTGTTATCTTTAAATTGAAATTGGCAGTTTGATTTTTATGACATGTGAATCCTTGTTGAATCATTTAATGTTGAATTTTTATATGTGGTACCCAATGACTAAAGGATTCAAAACACACTACTTAAAAATAATGAACTTTGCAGATAGTTTTTGATAAGCATTTATTATTAGGGGTTGTTTGTCAAAAGTTGCAAAGTGGGTTTTTGTTTATCCAAGATAAACTAAGAACCAACCCCTTCACACTGGTCTTTGATTTCAATATTGTTCTTCTTTAGATTTTTTTTTTTACGGCATATCCACCTCAATAGGGTTCTACCCTTTATTTCTGACAAAATTTTTATTGAAGGAATAGATTTTTTTTAACAAAAATTATTTGAAGTGAATTTTCCTTGAACAAATCTATAGCTTGTAGTTATATTTTTCAAATAACGATATATAACTGTATTCTATGGTATTTTAAACAAGGACAAAAGCATTTGCAAATAATTTTTCCTTCAAAAATTAAGGTTACAGACTGATTTTTTTTTTACAAAGTATTTTAAAATGTGTCTCCCAATTTTGGCATCAAGTTTGGGGGGTAACTAAGATAATAAATATCCGCATCCCCTAACAGGCTCAAGCCAGAGGTCACCCTTGACTCTGGGAACCTCCATCAAATGAATCCCTTGCTCACCAACCATTGCTGTTCTTTGTGAGGTAAGAGTTCAATATCCTGGAAGGAAGACAAAGAGTAAAGGAGGAACTGATATTTTAATTTTTATTTCCAATTATAATGCTGGGCAACAAAATCTTTCCCCCTGGAATAAAAAGTATATATTCTTCAGATGAAATCAAATGTTCCATTTACAAATCTGTATTCAGTGTTATCTTTAAATTAGAAATGTAGCAGTTTGAAATATGTCAAGATGAAACTAATAAAATTTTTCTCTTGGACACTGATGACATCAGTATTCTTGATAATGACTAAAGTACTCAAAAGAAAGTACTCAAAAATATTATGAACTTTAGATAGTTTTTTCCATGAATTTGTATGACAACTTTTATGCAAACTGGGAAAATGCAAGGAAAAACTAAAGAGCCAAAAGTTGTCAAACAATTTCAGTAAATTTGGTTTGGTTTAGTTTTTTTTTTTTTTTTACGGCATATCAACCTCAATGGGTTATTTAATGCTGACAAAATTTTTATTGTTGGTAATAGGTTTTTCTTCAAAAATCTATTTCTGGGAATATTTTTCCTTGAAGAAATCTATAGCTAGTCATATTTTTTCAAAGGATATATAACTGTATTGCTGGTATTTTTTTGTTTTTAATGTATTGCTGATAATTTTTCCTTCAAAAATTATTGCTGGTAATAATTTTTTTTTTTTACAAAGTATTTCTAGTATTAAAACCTATTTTTACACAAGTTTGGGTCTTAACTATTTGCCCATAGCTGGGACCCTAACAGATGCTACCACCCCAGGTCAGGGTGGACCTGGGAACACCATCAATGAAGAGGTGGTTTCATTGCTGTTGGATGTAGTTTATCATCTTACCCAGGACGCAGATGTAGTTTATCATCTTACCCAGGACGGGTTGCTTTCCAGGAGTCTATCGTCATACCCAGGATGAAATTTCATTAAAATTTGGTTGAATATATATGTGTGTGTGTGTGTGTATTTAGGCAGCATATTTTCATTCAAACAGGTTTGGTTAAATAATTTAGAAATACACTGCCTGTTTATTTTTGTTTTAATCCTTTCAAGTACACAAATCAATTTCTTGGTAGCCATAGAAATATATATATATATATATATATATATATATATATATATATATATATATATATATATTGCGTATATATATTCCTATGTTTTTTGCGTGTGACTATAATTTAAATCGTGGTGGTGTCCCCAGTTTGACAGGCACAGGGTCTGATGAATTGGGAATACCACTCAGTGAACTACTATAATTCGAACTCAAAAAACATAAATGCATATGAATAATAATTAATACATATCTTTGCTCTGTATAACAGCATTGAGCACTATCACGTTTATACCTCAAGTGTAAATTTAACAATTATTTATTTGCTTGCCTGCATATACACACCAGCACATGTGTACATGCTTGCTTATATTTGGCCATTTCATTTATCCACTCTACAAATATATATATATATATATATATATTGGAGTAATGGATAGTGGCTTGGAATGTGGAATCGGAGGGCCAAGTTTAAATTTGTTCACTTATGTGCTAATACCCTTGAGAAAGGTATGAATAAAAAACAATAAGAAGATAAAAGAAACTCCTAACAACAAATATAGTAAAAACCAAGAAAAAAATCCTACACAAGAAAACACGGAATATAAACCAGACTAAAAAAAAATTACCAAAAGGCAGACACCTACCTAAACTAACCAATGCTGTTTTATCCGTGCATTTTTGAATAACAGTTATTTTCAAGAGGATTTAATGATTTCTACTTCATTTGTACTTTTTTTTTATTTGCTCCTAAGCCAAGGAGATGGCCTTATCAAGCATGGCTTTGATTATAGAAGAGTAGAAATCTTTTACATCTAATTGTATAGATTTACAACGTTTATTTTTTTAGGTTTCTGAACCAGTCTATTGTTGGTTTTTCACTTATTTTACCTAGTTCACTTTTATTTATATTTACACACACTATCTCTGATATTGAGTAATTTTACCCATAAATATCACATACTTGAAAGCTATATTTTTATTATATATATATATGTGTGAATAAAATAAAGAAGAAAGGAAAATATCTTAGTTGGTGCATCTTGCCCTCTGATGGACTTTATAGGATTTTACTGAAGTATTTATACACAAAAGTAAAAATGTTAGTTTTCAGGATTTTTTAAGAACATTCATAAATATACTTCAAGCTAACTGAAACTCACAATCTAACCCAGCATAAATGGGTACTTCAGCTAGTATATTTATTACTAGGTTACTTAAAAAGTAACACTGCATAATGGGATATTCCCATTCAGATGAAAAAAATGTTATATTTATATATATATTTCCCATTCAGATAAAAAATATATATATAATATTATATATTTCCCATTCAGATAAAAAAAAAATGTTATATTTATCAACAACGTAATTATTATTAATGATAAAAATAAAGCCCAATGTTAAACTAAATCCTTATTAAAAACTTCTGAAGGAAAAGAATTTTGATAATGCCAAATGTTTGCATGTTTTGTTTGAAAGGTTTTTGAGATTAAGAAAGTGTCTCATTGCTATCATCAATGTTACCAAGTATTGAAGTTCTCATAGACATTTCCTCCTGTATGAAATAAGTCCCATGTTGAATATGAATTGCCATCTGCAGCCACCACATAGTAGGATAGGAGGGGTTAGGGGATGGAGAGTCTCAATGATATGAGTAATTATAAAACTGCAAGGTGTTAAAATAGCTAAATTAAGAGGATTTACCTGTCTATATTTCTGAGATGAGGTATTATGTACACTATTTACATTATTTGGACTGTTGTCCTCATCTGTCATCATGTTTATCACATTTTGGCCATTGTACACTTTGGCTTTCTTCAGGTGGTTGGAATGTCGAACTGAACCCTTTATTTTGCTCACTGGGGTAGACTGTTGTAGTTCCACGTGCCATGTTTAATGGATGTCAGTTATCAGTTATCTCCTGTTAAAGGTGTTGGTTAGATCCAGTGACAGGACCCAAAGAGTATGAGTTCAATACCCGGTTAAGGCAGTGGAGAACTTTCAGAGGAAAATTAACAGGAGATAACTGATATCCATTAACACGTGGAACTAGAACAGTCAACCCCAGTGAGTGAAATAAAGGGTTAAGTTTGACATTCTAACCACCTGAAGAAGGCCGGAGCGTACAACGACCGAAACATTGTAATAAATATGGCAACAAAGATGAGAACAAGAGTCCAAATAATGTAAATAATGTACATAATACCTCATCTCAGAAATATAGACAGATGCCTTAACCAGGTATTGAACTTACATAGTCCAAATAATGTAAATAGTGTAAGAGGATTTAGTCAAATATCTCAACCTGACAATTTGATTTTGTTTTCAAAAGATTTTATTGAGAGTAAAATGGTATGAATAAAGCTTCAATCTTCACCTATTGTTGACAATAAAGATATGCTGCAATTATCTTATAAATAATCACCAAGAACCTTTGGACATTGAGCCTTGGTTTAAGTGAGATTATTTCAAAAAAGAATAAAAGATTTATTTTCTAAGCAGACTTTTATTGTTGCTAATAAATATTTTTAAAAAGCTCAATTTTTGTTCAATTTGGAAAGCTTTCACTTTCTTCTCTAAAAACATGTCATAATTTTCTAAAAATTAGATTTCCAAATGGCTGTAACCAAAATTCATGTGAACACAAATGATACATCGTTCAGACATCATCGCCCTGTAGAACCTGGGCTACAGCCACTTGGAAGATTGGGTTTGTTTCTGATGTAATGGAATAACCTGTAACCCTCCATAAGTAACTACACTATAGGTAGTAACTACCTATAAGTATCGGTAAGTCAAAATACTATGGAGACTAGCTGGGATCTGTTTCAGCTAGACGGTCGAATTCTCTGTCTCTGAGCAGAGAGGAACCTGGACAAAGCTCAGACGAAGGGCAGAGTCTCATTCGGGGAGGTTGACCAACCCAATCCCGTTATGTGGTTTCTCTGGACATTTTTTGACTGAGCCTATGTGCTCGGAGAACCCACGTTAAACCGACCTTGTGCCACATGCAACCCTTGTGGTGGGGTAGCTAAATATACTAGCTGGTATCTGTTCCAGCTAAACAGTTGAACTCTCTGCCTTCGAGCAGAGAGGAACCTGGACGAGGCTCCGCTGAAAGGCAGTCTCGTTCGGGGAGGTGGACTGCCCCTGAACCCATTTATATGGGTTCAAAAGGGAATATTTTTGGCCAAGCATATGGGCTTGGAGAACCCACATTAAACTGGCCTTGTGCCACATGCAACCCTCGTGGGGAGGTAGCTAAATATACTAGCTGGGATCTGTTGAGTATGACTCAGACTTACGCGAGAACTACTGACCTTCTAATAGCAGCACTCACTACTGGATTGACTTGTGATGACCTTGTGCATAGCTGTTACCTTTATTCTTATTGTACTGGTTTTTTACAATAAACCTTTACTTATTTTATCCACCTTGTTTTTCAAGTATATATTCCTATTAGCATGGAATATAAGTTTCAAATAATGTGAGTTTGCAATAAAACTGATAAAATATTCAAAACATTCAGCAAAGAGAAGAGTTTGAAAAAAAATCTGACTTACCCTTTTGAGAGCACAAACTTGGACTATTTGTTTATATTTGATTTTGTCATATTTCTGACCAAACAAGATGTTTTGTCGTAGTGAAGCTGAGAAGATCCAAGGTTGCTGGGCTACGTATGACATGGTCCCATGGACATTCACTTGACCAGAGAGCACAGGTAATTCCTTCAAGATACTCATCAAGAGAGATGACTAAAAAAATAAGAAAAAAAGTAGATATAAATGAAAACTTCTCATGTTCTGTTGGTTTTGCCTACAAATTGTTCTAATAAACAAGAACAAATATACAATGAATTGTTTAGACACATAACTTATTTTGATAACTACTTTTGATGTACATTACAACCAGTGGTCTCTTTTTTTTTTTGATTATTTGCATTATTAACATTCAAATTAATGTTCTTATTTTTAGGTTTGGTTTGTTTTACGGCATATCAACACCTCAGTGGGTTATTTAAGGTTGACAAGATTTTTATTGCTGGTAATATTTTTTTTGTTTTCAAGAATGTATTGCTGGTAATAATTTCTTTCTTCAGAAATGTATTGCTGGTATTTTTTTCCCAAAATGTATTGTTGGTAATATTTCTTTCTTCAAAAATGTATTGCTGGTAATAATTTCTTTCTTCAAAAATGTATTGCTGGTAATAATTTCTTTCTTCAGAAATGTATTGCTGGTATTTTTTTCCCAAAATGTATTGTTGGTAATATTTCTTTCTTCAAAAATGTATTGCTGGTAATAATTTCTTTCTTCAGAAATGTATTGCTGGTATTTTTTTCCCAAAATGTATTGATGGTAATAATTTCTTTCTTCAAAAATGTATTGCTGGTATTTTTTTCAAAATGCATTGCTGGTAATAATTTTTTCAAAAATGTATTGCTTGTATTAAAACCTATTTTTACACTTTTATAGTGTTTTGACCCCTGTTTGGGAGTTTAGTAATTGCTCATAGCTGGGATCCTAACAGATGCTACCACCCCAGGTAAGGGCAGACATGGGAACACCAGCAATTAAGAGGTGGTTTCACGCTACTCAAAACCTCCTGATCAGAGGCCTTGTTGTTGGATGTATTTTATCATCATACCCAGGATGTGGATGTAGGTTATCGTCATATCCGGGACGGCCATTTTTAGGTGTTTGTCAACCTGGGTAACCTTCAAGGAATTTAAAACTGAACTTTTTATTTAATCTATAGGAGTTGATTGTTGTCATTACACTACCCATATCTTGGGATATACTGTCTTGTTCTTTTTTAGTATTGCTTGTTTCCACCGGGTACAATACCTTGCAAGGTGACTGAACTCACAATTGTTATGTCACCAAACTCATGAACCAAAATTTTAATTCACTTGACTATAGCCTAGTAGGTTAAAGCATTGGTGAGCAATAACAGAACAATATTAAGAAAAACAAGACAAAATATCACATGAGATGGGCAGTGGAATAAGATCATCTACTTTCATAGGTTAAATAAAAGATTCAGCTGAAGATTATCTGGTTTGACAGACAACTGTAGAAGGCTGACAAGCACAACAACCATAATATTGTAATAATAATAATAACAAAGATGAGGACATTAATCCTAATGTAAATAATGACAGCATCTCAGAAATTTAGACAGAAATTTTTTATATGTTTAATAAATCTTTTTATAAGATCACAGTTAGTATAAAGAGATTGGTATTGGAGAGTAATTAGTCATGGTTAAATGTAATTGATAGAACAGCCCAACAAACAGAATTGACAAAGTTTGCAATAAATAACAAAAGAAAGAAAAGAACAGGGAAAAAACTAATATTGCGCAAACAGACAATATATGCACGACAAAAGATGGCAAAGCAACAATAATAAGACCAAAAATGTTCATAAAATAAGAACAGTGTTGAATCATAAAATGAATGCAGACATGGGATTGCAGTGTTCTGACTTCAAGACAAGAAAGAAAAAGAATTATGTCAGTTGAGACTGAGAAATGGTCTATCTTATTGGCTAGAAAGAAATCCCAGCATGCATTTGTATGTTTTGTCTATAAACTTGGAGGAAGAGATGTTTTTGAAGTCATTTCTACCAAGGATTGGTACCAACAGAAAAGGTTCTTAATATACTTTTTGAATATATGAATATTGCGAAATGAAGGTTTCTTTTATGTCATTATGATATTCTAATTCTTGTTTGATAGCTAATGATGCCAAAATCAGGCATAAGAACCAAACTTATTTCTTAATTTTTGGTTTTTACAGTTTATAAACACTTTGCAGGTTATTTAAAGCCAAAAAATATTTTTAAATTGTAAGACTTTTTTTTTCTTTTTTTTTTGAGATAGTAATGGTTTAGTGATACAAGTCTTACTAATTAACCCATAGGGAGAGAAGAGGGGGATTCATACTGTTCCCAAGGGTATTTGCATGTAAGTGACTATGATGAACTCAACTGGAATTTGAACTTGGCTCACCAATTAGCAATTCTGAGCCATTATCCATTACACCACCTGCGCATTCAAGCTTACAGCAACTGGTATTCTCAAGCAGTCACCTATCTAGGTACTGACCAAGGACATTAGTGCAAAGCAAACACAACTGTCTCTGTTAAATGTTAAACTCAGTCTACCAATTTCATTTTCCACACCAATAACTGTTACACTATGCAGGCAACCATTTTAATCAAAACTGACCAGGAAAAGTAGAACCATGCAGAAACATTTGGCAGCAGAAAATTTTAAAATCCAACAGATGAAAATGTTTTTGGCACTACTTAAATAGACAGGTCTAGTCATAAAAAATAAAGAAAATTTTGGGTGGGAATAATTTTTATGGATTAGCATTCATTATACCATCCTCAAGCATTCATTAGACAATCCTCAAGCATACATTAGACCATCCTCAAGCATACATTACACCTTCTTCAAACATTCATTCAACCTTCCTCAAGCATTCATTAGACCATCCTCAAGCATTCATTACCCCTTCTTCAAGCATTCATTCAACCATCCTCAAGCATACAGTAGACCATCCTCAAGCATTCATTAGACCATCCTAAAGCATGCATTAGACCATCCTAAAGCATTCATTCAACCTTCCTCAAGCATTCATTAGGCCTTCCTCATTTGTTAGACCTTCCTCAAGGCATGACTTTTGTCAGAATCAAAAAAAAGATATTCATTTTCTTAGTGAATGTAATGGATTTGACTGGAATAGCTCTCTGATTCCTCAATCTAAGCCGCTTATCCATTACTCCACCGTAAGCCTCAAAGAGCATGACCGAATAATAAAAACCTGATCACTTAAAGACTTCCAACAGCAGCAACAACTAAAATGGATAGCACAACTATAAGAGGAAATAATGGATGTAATCATGACGTCAATTTTGCACACTACTTTAAACAAAAGGTTAGGAAAGAAACTCATTGGTACTAAAAAGAATGACAACCGTTAATGAACTTAAGAAGTCCATTTTCATGAAAAATTGCTAAAAAATGTAACAGATTTAATAAATTTCAACTGATGGTAATCTTAATTGTTCAATCCATTCCAGCTGAATTTTTCTTGTGTTGGTTTGTTGATTCATTTTTTATGGTTTATCAACCCTTTGTAGGTTATTTAAAGCCAGAAAATATTGTTAGATTGTAAGAATTTTTTTTTTTGAGATAACAATGGTTCTGCAAGACAAAATCATGACTGCAGTGAATTACCAGAAATCAAACATCATGAGTGGAAGGGAGAATATTTTACTTTGATGTTGGTTCTAATGCTTGGAGTGTGTTTCTTCAGCTAACACAGGCCCGGCCTGGTGGATATTGCAGTTCCATTACCATTCCAAGGTTTTGGGACCTTATGGAAGAATTTGCTGATAAAATGAATTCCAAAGTGAGCCAAAAGTATTTTGCATCTGACAGTGGGAATGTGCTTGGTGACGATATTGGATATAACCAAGAATGACCATGGCAAGTTTCAGTAATCAGTATGGTCAAACTGCAACCAAATACCATGCTCTTCAAGTACTGACCAACGATATAACCAAATAAAACTGCAGACAGATAAAAGAAAAGGAAATGAGCTGACTCCAGACAGACAGCTGGCTGATTTACCTGTTCAGATGATCCTTTTTATCACAAAAAGTATTAACAGACTCACAACTTCAATCCCCACCTTGACCAAACCATTTTCTTCAAACTTCTTCATCAGCATCCAGTTTGTGCACTCATTTCAAAACATTCACTGTTGCCATCATTTCTGATAATAGCAATGGGCCTCTAGGCAGTTGGTTGATTTTATTTCACAGCATATCAACCTCTAAGAGTTATTTAATGCTGAAATCTACATACCCTGCATGCAATTTTATACCTTCTACTGCAAATACATTGTACATAATTTTATACTTTCAGAGTAAAAGTAGGTTTTATAGGTACATAGTTTATAAATCATAAAATGTATTGCTGATAATTTTACTCAAAAACTGTATTTTTATATTTTTTTAGTGTTGCATTGATTGTCATTTTATTATAAAAATGTACCGATTTTTGTTTACGGGTTCAGTATAAAAGAACCAAGGAAGAACAGAAGTTAAGAAGTGGTTCCATGCTTCTCAAAACCTCCAATCTCCCAATCAGAAGATATAGTTTATCACCATACCCAGGACATCCCAAGGGAGTGAAAACTGTCTTCTAAAATTAACGATTAAGCACATTTCATTGTCTATAAATTGATGGTGATCATTAATGGAGATTTTAAGATCTACAGGACTCATTATATTTTGTGGAAAGTTTATCCATGATACAAGTCTTACTAATTAACCCATAGCTAGGGGAAAGAGGTGTATTCATACATTTCCCAAGGGTATTTGCACATAAGTGAATATAACAAACTCAATGGGAAGTGGAACTTGGCTCTCTGATTAAAAATGCTGAGTCATTATCCATTACATTACCTGCACATCCAAGCTTACAACACCTGGTATTACCAAAGATCTTTTGTGTATGAAAATGTTTAATGTCTCGATTTGTTAGAAGGCAACTTCTAAAACTGATAGTTTTTTCTTTAAAAGATTCTTTAGTCTATGTTGACCCAATAATTATTTTTATTGTGAAGTCTTTAGTTTATAGGAGTCGACAAGTTTGGCTATTGCCTGGCCCAAACTCCTTCCACATTTACTAAATAAGAGTAGATGCTTATCCTTTGTCTCCTGTTTAGAATGTGGTTTTCTGGTTCCTCTCTTCCATAGTCTTAATGATTTTAACTGTCTCAACTTTTTGATGATCTGATTGATCAGTGACTGTGCCTTTTCATTTTAAGGGTACCGTATTGACAGTTTTCTGGTTGCTGTATCCTGACTGGTAGCAAGGAGATCAAACAATTTTGTAGTGCTTAGAAAGGTAGCTCTGGTTAACAGTCATATAATATCAAGGTATTTGCAATAGTGTGTTAAGCATGGATACCCTTGCATGTATTTCTGTTGGGCAACTCAGACCACATTATGCTTTAGTGCTAGACCCCTTCTGGATAGTTTGTACTGCCTTAGACCAGTGTTTATCAACCTTTTTTACTTCAAGGTACACTTGTAGCATAACTAAAATCCTGGGGCACACTTTAAATTTTAATAAGGAAAAATTAGTCACAAAATTTTAAAATAGGAAAATAATAAAGAAGTCTCCTGCAATAAACAATTTTTAAAACATTACATTGTATATTTAAGTGGCAGTTTTCATTTAAAAGGATTTATGAAAAATTACTTTTAGAGAGATTGATAATAATTGATTTAAATCCCTTGGGGAAAGCAAAAAGGAAAGGATTATCCACTCCTTAAAGATTAAAGAATTTAGTCTCCAGTTTAAACCATCAAAGGCTTGACATGGAAGCCACATGCTTGGTGTCTCTAAATTTTTAAAAATAAAGATTTTTTTCAATATAAAAATAATTCATAAATTACTTTTCTGTTAACTTGGGTTGCACCTGGCTACATTTCAAGGCGCAATTAGTGTACCTGGGTGTACCAGTTAAGAACTGCTGCTTTAGGTGATGAACAGCAATAATTATTTTAACCTTTTTCTCCTTAAAGATTAAATGATCTCATTACATTGAATATTGCTACCACATCTGCAATGTTATTTGTCCTGACCAGGCATCTCCACTTTAGTCACTTTCCCATTACTGCAATATAGCTTCTCTGTGCCATCCCTATGAATATTTCTAGATTGGCAGTTAGGTCTCATCAATTTGCTGTTGAATTTCTAGATATAACTGTAAGTTGTATGCTCACAGTTTCTTCTCTCGCACTTCTTGCTTGTGGAACTCTCTTTTGGCTTCTTGCTTTCTAATTAACTTCAAAAGTTTAAATCTTCTGTATCTGTGAATCTTCTGTGTGTGTGAATCCTGTTCTTTTATTGTCCTTTCACCTAAATAATGTTTTTCTCAGATTCTTTCAAACTCAGCAACCTCTTGCATCTTAGTGGCTTCATCCCCTTGTCCACTTTCTCCTGAAGGTTTTCTCAGTTTCTTTAACTTTCAGTAAGATGCAGAAAAATGGTTGGTTCCCTGTACCACTCCAGTAAGTACCTGACTCCTTTTGCTATCCTATTCCAAGAGATAGAGTCCAAAATCAACTCCACGTCCTTGTGGGTGATGAATTATTTTCCACTGTACAACCTCTTTTCAACTGACAAAATATCATAATCCTCTTGCTGCTTTATCGTGATTACCATGGAAAGTGCTCAGACAAACTACATTCCACCAGTTCTAACCTTCACTGCTAAGATCTGCCATGCCAAACACATTGTATCAAATCACAATCATTCCCTTTGCATTCCATTGGTGAGAAGTAAGTTCCACTTTAGCAGCTTCTTCCTGCAAACTGTTTTTTTTTTTGTTGAACTGACTTCCAAGAGGATGCTTTACTGATCACAACAATCTTAACCTGTTCAATTATCTTCCCCATATATGTGCATTAAAAGTGCCTCTTACTCTGCAACCTCTACCTCGAGTGGCTCTTGGGCCTTGTACAGAATAAACATTATTGTAAAAAAAAAAAAACCTTTGCGTCTTAGTGGCTTTACCAGTGAAGTGAAATGATTACAAAGAAAGAAAAACAGTGAATGTCTTACTTTTCCAGCTCCCACAGGACCAACAACAGCCAGCAGTTCACCAGGATTTAATATTAAGGAAATATTCTTCAAAGTCATCTGTGGCAACTCCTAAAGTTAAAAACGAAACAACAACAATAATACTGTGTTTCAAAACATTTGCACATTCATTGGATATCAAAATTATTACATGAAATCAATGATTAGAAGTGTTAGATGACACAATGGTTATCAGTGCAAAAATCAGACCCAACAAACATAGTTCAAACCTTAGCTAAAAATATGTGTATTCACTCAGAAGTAATGTTCTTGAAAAAGGCACAAAACCCACTTCTACCTGATCTCTATCCTATCATCAGATGTTTTGATAATATCCCATCACTGGTTCACCATCATGAAATATTTTGGGGGTCAGAAAATTATGCCCCAGGGGTAAATGGTAAAGTTAAATAATTGTGGTCTGAAGAATTGAATAAAACAAGATGTGTCCGATGCTAGCAGAGTTTTTCTTATAGACAAAGACTAATGCATTATGGGTAACAAAAATGTGGAATTTGACTGCGTTTTGTTTCCTTTGGTGAACTAAGTTATTGGAATGTTGTGGAGATTTCCAGAGTTGAAAGTGGGAAGAAGGGGAAAGAATAAATGAAAGAAAAGGACAAGGGAAGTGGCAAGTGAAAAAAATAAAGAAAAGAAGTGAGATAGAAAGCCAAAAAAGTGACACCCTAAAGAGCAATCTAGAATCGGTAACAGCCTGAGCTACTAATTCCTTTTCTTTCACTTTTCTCTCACAGGAATCAGTAAGTACAAGCAATCTTTATTCATATCAATTCATTTAAATCACAATAATATAGGGTGTGGCAAAAGTAACTTTTGTTTTTGCTGCAAGTTGAATTCTGACTGAGAGTTAGAAATCAGAATTATATTTAATTTCAACAGGAGCGTATGCTGCCTCAGTATGGCTTACGTCTTCAGGAATGGTTAAACTTTAATTTCAAACTGAGGTGGATAGGATAATGTGGAGAAATTAAGTGGCCATCATGATCACCAGACCTAACACTGTTGCATAACCCCTTAGTAGGGGTGGTTTTGAGTGACAGCATCAATTTGATAATAAAGTTGCATTCTTCTCTCTTGGCCAGTGATTACTAGTTGTTTTGAGTCGAGATATAAAAGAACTTCAACACAGTCAATTTTAACTTAACTATTTTAATAATGTTTGTGTTGACATGTTCTATCTATCCAGTGGGGGTCGTTCACCCTCCACTGGGGAGCTGTTTCCAACACAAAAGAAAACACACCTACATTGTTTAATAAGGAAGTCAATTTTCCAGCATAAGAATAATAGATATAGAGAAAGTCAATTTTCCAGCATAAGAATATCTATTATTTTCAGTGAGTTCTTGAACTCACTGAAAAAAATTATTCTTATGCTGGAAAATTGACTTCCTTATTTTGTCTTCCAGCTGACCTCTAAGGTCAACCTCAGGAAATCTGAGCAGATATACACTTCCTCTAAAAAATAATAGTCTGCTAAGCTATTACTTAACAATACCACCAGACTTTTTCTTGTGTGGTATCCTGAAAGATCTTGTTTACAGGCCCAATCCGAAAATAATCTCTGAATTAAAACAAGTAATTTTTTATACATTTTCTGAAATTAATGTAGAAATATGTCAAATGGTTTGTAGAAGTGTTGCTGATAGGGTTCAGCAGTGAATTCAACATGAAAGGGAGCATTTTGAATATGTTAGTTTGTTAATCATAACAAATTATGTTTTCATGTGACAATTGTAAATTTTCTTAAACCACTATAATTTATTTTTGTACAATACAAGTTAATAAACAAAAAAGTGGGTTATTTTTACTGCACTCTGTATGTCAATTTAAAGAATATATATAAGTCACTCATTTTGAAACTTAAAAGTTTTTTTTATTTTTTATATATATTTATTAATAGTGTTTGTCCTTTTACATTCTGTCAGTGAAGAGGAAGAAAAAGAGCAAAAAAGGGGGAAGATTGTTGTTTTATACAGAGAAAAGAAATAGAAAAGTATTAATGGAAGAATGTTAGATTAAATACTTTACACTAATGAAAGGATGCAATAGATAATTGTGGGTAAACAAGCAGCATAAAAAGTCAGAAATGAGGATGGTGGCACCTTTTTTTTGATGGGGAGATGTTCTGTTGCATTGAGAAGACATTTTTTTGGTGGGGTTAACAGCTTATGAAACAGATCCCAGAGAGTAGGGGACAATTACAACTAATCATACAACCTAACAGATTTAGCAAATGGGCTGGATGAAGTTATATCACTTTCCTGTTCTGGACAAGGGTAAATGCACTGAGGATGAGTGATTCTTCCATTCTTGAACTGAGGCTACATATTCTTGAAAGCTATTGCCTATATTTTGAAAATTACCAAGTTAAATTTAGAATTAAATTTTTAAAACTCATTTTTCTTAGCTTTAATAAAACTTGAACGAGTTCTTACCATTTTGCCTTCAATTTTTGTTTACCATCAAAATATTTCCCTAATGGTTGTTTATTAATTCCTATGCTTTTAATTTCAATATTTTGTAAGAAAATATTTTCATAATTTTTTAAACCAAATTTTGCATCAGCAACTTTTCTGAGCAATCTTCATCTACACTACTGTGTAATTAAATATTGCCTGTTGCTCACTAAAGTATTATTGTCAAATGACTTCCTTTGCTTAAAAGATGCTATAAAGGATACACTTGGTCATTGAAATAATAAGAGTGGATAGGTTCATCTATCATCTAGTTCACACTCCTCCCTGGTCTTTTGAACAGGAGTAGAGGTTTATCCCTTGTTTCCTATTTAGGATTGGGTTTCCAGTTTCTTCTAAATTTTTCTCATTCTCTTTCACTCCAAGTAACCCCTTCCATCTTAGTGGCATTATTACCTTCCTTGGGGTAAATTGTACCATTTTAACATTTCCAACAAGCTGTTAGCATATATTTCCACATAATGTGTTTTAAATAGAGTGAAAGAATTTCAAGTCCTGAAAATTCTGAGGGAACACCACAAGGCATGATGGAACTAACATATTTTGAATGGATCAAAATCAGGAATTTTGTTCAAAGTTCCTGCAAGGTTACCAAATATAACAGGAAAATATAAAATATAAAAGGAAAGGAAGTGGCTACTGAAGTTAAAATATTGTGAAAAAAATTTATCAAAAATGGAAAATAATTTATCCAAACGAATCATTAGAGAAAATGAAACAATTAAAGAATCAATGTGATTATAAATAAAAAAGAAAAAAAAAATTAAATTTTCACCTTGTCCCATTTGGCAGACATGTCTTTGATAACCAAACCCTTAGAGTTTCCAGTTTGGTGAATTACAGCTTTGGGCGGAAGTTCTTCAAGTAGAAGGAATTCCTGGAGGTAAAAAAAAAAAAAAAAAAAAATTAAGAAATGAAAACTTTATCAGAATATAAAACTGGATGGATTATTATATTTTTACAATCATGAGTAAAAAAATATTTCAATCATTATTGTTTTTGAACAGAGCACAAAGTTTTATCCACACTGTAGATAATATAATCAATTACTAAAAATCTTTTTCTTCAAAGCAAAATTATTAATAATTGTTCTTTCAATAAATTGTGCATACTAAAAAGTTTTTCTATAAATGAGTGATTTTTTGAGTAAGATGTTGCAAAGATATCAAAATTATTCCTTATACTTTTTACTTCTATCTTCATCCTTGTTATTTTCAACACAACACCAAAGATCTAAGTCCTATGTGGTCTTTAAAACTATCTTGTCTTCATATAATGGCTCAGAAATGGACATTGGAGAGCCGAGTTCCAATTCTGGTCAGAGTCGTTAGATTCACTTACATGCAAATAACTGTGGGAAAGTTATCAATTCACCTCTTCTCCTCCTCCCAGCTATGGGTTAATTAGTAATTCATTATTATCTTCCAAAAATTCTTACAATCTGAAAATATTTTCTGGCTTTAAATAATCTGCAAAAAGGTTGATAAACTGTAAAAAACAAGTCAATCAAGTCTTTGTCCTCATTTACTGGAACATCACAGTTAAAAGAATCAGAGAACTGATGGTTAAGGTCTTGTGCTATTCCCTCCCAACTATACTTAAAAGATTCCATTGATAAAACCATTTATTACTCTGAAGTTCTTTCAAAAGGAGGAAATGTGTAGCAATGGATTTCTTTCTATTTGGTCATTCAATATTTCTTATATATTAGCAGAGAAGACAACAAGCCCTGAAGAGTGAACATGTTATCTTGATGTGCTCATGAAACTACATAGTAGGCATGATTGAATCAACACCACTCAGCTAAGTCATAAGCTCTTTTCCCATTGTCTTTTTCTCCAGATATATACTTTTCTGTTTGTCACATTGAGCAAACTTCCTTGTGAATTTCAGAATTCCTAACCAAAAATTATTTTTATGATGTCAATCTTCCACCCCACTGAGCCAGTATATATTTCTGCACTACTTGACACTTGGATTGAACTTATGACTTCCAGGAAACCAGATGAACTTCATGTGCATTTTTAATTTCTAGACTATTTTCAAAATCCACCCAAAATTTTGAAAAAAATGTAACCAAACCTCTAATATACTTTATAAAATGTATAGCCACAAAGAAATTTTATATCTCCCACAAATTAATTAAATAAAGGGTCAATTACCGATATATATTGTATTGATATTTATTTGATCTTAAAAAATTTTTTTTTTTAAATACTATACTTGAACTTCTGCCAGACTAAACCAAACTTAGTCAACAAAAACAAATTACATTTTTCTTGAATGTAAAACTAAACTACAATGTATGAAAACCAATGTACTCTGTTTTGTTTTTTCCCTATAGTTTTACGTTCTTCAGTTTTTCCAAAAATGTGTGTCAAGTACAATTATACTCTCTAGTAAAAGATAATCCAAATATTTTTTAACAGTTGTACTAAAAAGTGATGGTCTGAACAGGTTTAGAATCCAAAGCAAATTATGGTTTATATTTACAATTTGACATTAAAGGCATCAAAAAAAAAAAAAAAAAAGAAAGCACTTTCCAAAATCATATCTTAATGTACACATTAGATAAAAGAGGTGAATTATTTGAGCATCTGTAAGGCTGTTCACCACATGAGGATGATTGTCACTTATTTCCTATTAAAATTCATTGTTAGTGATTTTGAGGATAAAATTATTAAAAAATATGCTACAAATAAAGAATATATCATACTTTGTTTCTAAAAAACAAAAACCCAAACAAATACCTGAGAAGACAGCTCAACTATGTCAGATTGTATAATGCAAATCAATATATAAAGAAGTAATGGATTTTTTTTATTTATTAATCCAACAAAGTTATCAGTTAAACATTATTTTTCATGGATACTCATATTTGAGTTGACGCTTCATTTATTTATTAAACAGTATATTTATTTATTCATTTTTGTCTACTGGCTTGAATATTCAAGAAATCATATTAAAGAGAAATATGTGCTCTCCAGCAGGATTTAAACCTGTGTCCCCTGGGCAAAGGGAACTGTCATTAGATCTGAGGTGCTTTAACTGACTTGGGCCCAGAAGAACCTTTGACAATCAAACAAAGCTTATAAATGCCTTTAAGTGAAATTCTTTGTGGTTGAGTCATTTAAAGCACATCGGGTCTAACAAATTTAGTCCAATGAAATCCTAAAGGATGAAATGCATCACACAAAAACTTTTACTCACACATTTTTTCCCCATTTTCTATATATATATATATATAGGTGTGTGTGCGTATGTATGTGAAAAAAAAAATATATATATATATATATATATATATATATATATATATTTATGGACACATGGCTAAATGGTTAGAACGTTTGTTTTCTGACCATGAGACCCAGGTTTGAATCTCACCATGTCATCGTGACTGAGGGTCTGAGTGTGATGGCCTTGTTCAAATTGTTGATCATGCTAGATAACATGCTCTCTCTCCCAGAAACTCTAAGGTCTGCTCAGCATAATTGCAGTATAAACCACATATGGGCTCTGTGGGTGTTGAACAAACACAAAATATGCCTGAGTGAGCATCTGCAATAGGGATTGGCTAGCCTCCCTAGTAGATCAGTATCCTTGAATACGAGTGGCCAGCTATTATAAATACACATACACATACATACATACATACATACATGAATTTTGGTGCTCCTAGGCAAATAAAATTATAGGGCTACCCTCTAACTTATCTGCACCCATCTTGAATATCTTTTTTTTTTATTTGATATATTTTAGCCACATTTACATAGCTTGAAGTTAAATTGTTGCAAATTCTTTAAATGAACTAGAATAGCTATCTTTTGTTTGTCAATAAAAATATTCTTTAAGAAAAATATTCTTTAAGAAATACCAATATTTTACTATCATGCATATTTTATATATATATATATATATATATATATATATATATATATATATATATATATAATGTATTCGGAAGAGATAAGTTAGATGTTAAAGTATCTAAAGTTTAGTGAGACACTGCAGGATATTTTGAACAATTTTTCATTAGAGTATATCTCTTGCATATTTTGTATATAGATTGATTTTTATGTATTCGGATGAGATAAATTAGATTCATGAATAATGAATCTATAGAAAAATGGTGAAGTAATGTAGTTTTTTAAACATGTGTTAATAGTTGGTAATGTTGCTGTAAATATATTTTCATAATATTTTCTCTTTAAAGAGTTACATTCTTTTTTGATAAGGCTGGCATTGGTGAAATTAAAGCTCTGTCCTACATCGTTACACATACATATTATATATATATAATGAAATTGTAAACTGGATTTGTCATTCTATTTTGGGGACACAAGGTTCAATGCTGCATGGTGACTGGCAGTTTCACCTCCTAAGTGATCATTAGACCATTATGCATCAGTTTGCAGTGCTGTATCTTTTTATTTTTTTTTAAATTGCAATTTATATTTAGTAAGTCTGTTCCTAAATTAAATTAAATTTTATTGATTTGAGATTGTTTTTCATGGTTAAAGTTTTTTTCACACTTTATTTGGTATAGTGAGGATGAAATACTTAAAGAAAGCCCATATGACAGTAAAAAAACACCCAAAAAATGCAATGTATACTTATCGAGACAACATTATCAATCTACAAAAAAATCTTTGAAAATGGATTATAAAAGTTGAAAAAAAAAAAGAAAAAAAAAAGCTTAAAACACATTGGACAATTTGCTTAAATTCTCCCCAGAAGTCAGAAAAATGGTCCAAACCAAAGAAAAATTAAGTAAAAAGAAACTGAAAGGAATTTTATTGGTCTTCAACAAAACACACATTATATATATATATATATATATATAGTGTCTGCTCAAAAAATGTATACACAATTCCTTTTCACAGTTTTATCAAATTGTGATAATATTGTTTACTGTTTACCTTAGCAGACCTAAAACAAGAAATTAAAAATACATGTACAGTAATCCCACTAGACACTTTGGCCAACATTTCCCCAAACAGTAATTTGCTGTACTAATAAATGCCTGGAATCTAAAGTTCACCATTTTGGCCATCTCTTGTGATTGTAGAGTCCAAAGGTGACTTGCATTAATCATGTGATGTCTGAATAAATTTACTATTACAATATCTATACAAGTTTTTCCTATCCTGAAGTGGGTATACATTTTGGGGCAGACTTTGTATATATACATACATACATACATACATACATACATGGTGTGGCAGAAATACCTCCCACATAATGGTAAGAGATTAGCTAGATGAAGACAGCAGTGCCACTATTGTCTTACTATTATGTGGGAGGTATTTCTGCCACACCCTGTAAATATGTATGTGTGTGTGTGTGTGTATGGGTAGGGAATAAGGTAAATCTGAAATTAGATAAAGTAATGTCACAAGTAGAATCTGAAATAAAATTCTTTAGGTCAAAATTCACAAAAAGTCCCAATTTATTATAACTTTAGTCCTCATTGCTTAACCTTTTTATTTCCCACAGTTCCACTAGTGAACATATTTAATACATTTTTTTTTATACCAGATGGGCATTAGGTGAATTTTAACTCAATGTATAAGCACATATTGTATTTTTATCTTTTTAGTGTATGTTATCAACAAAACAATCAAAATTAAAGCTACTATTAATTGTATATCTAAACTGTCGGCTGTATACAACCGTTTTCTAAGATCAAGAGTGAAAAAAGGCTTTGAGCAAGTAAATCTTGATGGTCTTGGCAAAGATCATTCTTCTTTGGACATTGTGGACTGGCACTACAGAATCACAAAGAAAGAACTGTACCAAATAAAAGAAACCACATCACTTGAGGACTACCAACAGCAGCAAATACTAAAATGGATAGCACATGTAACTCAAAGAGAA